ATATTACACATTCATTGGTTTGTCTTTCCTCAAAGGAATGTAAACTTCTCCAGCACAGGAACTTTTTCAATGTCATTCTCTGCTGTATTTTAAGCATCTAGTGCAATGCCTGGTACATAGCAGGTATATTCCTCAGAGTTCTCCAGAAAGACAGAATAAATAGGCTATGGACAGATAGAAGTACCTAAGAGGAGACTGATTAGGGGAATTGGCTGATGTGATTATGGAAGCTGATAGGGGGCTACTTCTACGCTAGAGACCCTGGGAAGCTGGTAGCATGACCTGGTCCAAGTCTAAAGACCTCTGAACCAGGGAAGCCAAGGGTGTGACTCTCAATCCAAGGCCAAAAGCCCAAGAAACCAGGAGGAGGCCACTGGTGCAGGTCCTGACCTGACCTCAAGTCCAGAAAGCCTGGAATTCTGATATCCAAGGGTAGGAGAGGGTGTGCCAGCTTCTTCTGAAGGGAGAGAAAAGAATTTGCCTTTCCTCTGCCTTTTTGTTCTATTCAGGGCCCTGTTGATTGGGTGGCACCTGCGTACACTGAGGGCATGAGGGAATGTGTTCTCTTTCCGGGTCCATGGGCGGGGGGGGTGTAGTTTTAAGGGCAAGAATTTCCTTGAAGAATTTCCAGCACCATGCCCCACTCCATCGCTCTTCCTCCGGGAGATTTAACAGTTTATGTTTGAATTTGATGGGCGTGGGAAGAAACTAAGAGTCAATCACTTCAGCAGAAGTTCTAAGGAACTCCTTTCCTTGGCCAGAGGAAGTTGGGGAGGTGGGAATTTCTCCCAGGATGAATTCCCCAGCTCCTTCACCCACATTGGATTTCCAGCTCTCTGGTATCCCCTCCCACATGGTGGGAGCTACCTTTCCCCTCCTGGATTTCCCCTCTGGAACCTCCTTCCATACTCTTCGTGGAAGTCTTTCTCTCCTCCCTTTCTTCTCTTTTATCTACCTAAATAAAATCACCTTTCTGCAACACTTCTTGGGTCCAATATTTACTTTTACAAGTGTACAGTGCACCTGCAGTGGTCTCTTCTCTTATTCTTAAGAGGGCAGAGACCAAGAACCCACAGCACTCTCTTGGGGGAGCCGTGCCTCATCAACATTCCCCAAAAAAACCTAGTTACAGAAGTGATGGGCAGACCTTCCTTCCTCAGTCCCCCGACCCACATACCAGTCTCCTCTGGAAGCACCCTCATAGATACACTTAGAAACAACGCTCTACCAGTTCTCTAGGTGTTCCTTAATCTTGTCAAGTTTGACACCTAAAATTAACGATCACAGTAGGTGTTCAATAAACATTTGTTGAATAAATAAATGGGAGGTCCCGGGGCTGCTTAAGAAAAACAAAACAAAACAAAACCAAAAACCTCCTTCTTCCCCACCCAATTTCACAACACCCTGGAAAGAACGATCATTTTTATTTCACATCTTTATTTCATGGAGAGAAATTGTTTTTATTCACATATAGTTTGAACCTTCCCCTCCTTTTCATAATTTTTTCCTGCCAACACCCTAACCTCCTACAGAGTGAGAGAGAAAGAGAGCGGGAGGACACGTGCCAGTTCATGTGCCATCAAAGGAATCAGCCTTTCTTTCATGGCAATGCCTTTGGAGCAAACCTGAAGCCTGTAAGGCAATGACAATGACAGTCTCTTTCCCACCTCCCAGAAGAGGATGAGAATGAATCCAGCGATAATGGGAAGAGTGTGATGTGAGGCAGAGCTAACATCACAGAGATCCCAGGGAACATTATTTTTCCCTCTCCTTTCTAAAGACACCATAAAAAGCTCCAGATTTTTCTTTCTGAGTGGTGACTGCTTTAAAGAATATAAAATCTCAGATACTGTGAAACTCCACGTGATTTCACCACTGACAACTGATGTGAGGCACAGTGATGGGACTTCATGGTTGTTATATTTGACTTGCAGCCTTGGGAGGAGGGCAGTTGGAAAGGAGGACTGTCCTGAAGTAATGGTGGCCCCATTGGGGTTTGGGGCTTTGTGTCATAGTTTAAGCAATTCAGGCTGGCAAGTTTGAAGGAACGGATGAAAGGGAATCACAGGAAAGGGAGGTGGGGGAGATGCAAAAGTGAGGAAGTGGGAGAGAAGAAACAAATGAGCCAAGCTCACCTGTTGCCCTGTCTGTGGGGACCAAGAAAATCTCTAGCTTAGGTTTGATCAGTTTAGGGCAATGACCCTCAAGTCTTCACTTCCAGCAATCCTTAATCACTTGATAGAATTTTCTATCCAGCATACTTTATGTCGAATAATAAAGGACTTGTCTGGTCTTTTTCCCAGGTTCCTTGGACTCTCAGCCCTCACCCCATGTGTCTCTTCATGTGGCTGGTCCTGACCTATATCCTTTCTCGTAAGAGTCTGTAATTGGAAGTAGACCCTTTCCTGAGTTCTGTGAGTTGTTGCAGTGAATTATCTAACCTGACCAGGTCATGAGAACCCCTGAATGTCTAGTTAGTCAGTCAGAAGTGTAGGTGGCCTGGAAACCCCTGAACTTGTGGCTGATGTCTGAAGTTCTGGCCATCTTGAGGGGGGCTGTGCCCTTCATTTGTGGGGTGTATTACTCAGGATCCTCCAGAGAGACAGAACCAGTGGGATACAGGAAAGGTGATTTATTAGGGGGAGTGGCTCACACAATCATGGAGGTGGAGAAGTCCCACAATAGCTGTCTGTGAGCTAGAGAACTAGAAAAGCTGGTAACATAGTTCAAAGCCGGTAGCATGAGGTTGCGTTCAAGTCTGGAAGCCTCAGAACCAGGGAAGCAGACAGTGCAGGCCCCCATCTGAGGCTGCAGACCTGACTGCCCCCAGAAGGCTACTGGTGCAAGTCTCAGAGTCCAAGCGCAGAAGAGCCCGAGTCTTATGTCCAAAGTCAGGAGGAAGAAAAGCATGTCATCCTGGAAGAGAGAAAGAGAATGAGAGAGAATGGTGGGGGTGGGGGAACAAGCCCCCTTCTTCCACCTGCCTGTGCCAGCCAGGGCCCCTGCCAATGGGATGGTGCTTGACCCTTGAGGGCAGATCTTCCTCTCTCAGTCCACTGACTCAAACCCTCACAGGCACACCCGGAAACAATGCTTCATCAGTCATCTAAGCAGTCCCGAATCCAGTTAAACTGACATGTAAAATTAACCATCACATGAGATCTGCACTAACTCTGGGTGGTTAATGCCAGAATTTACCTGCAGTACACCAGTGGGTGTTAGAATACTCTACTTATTCAATTTAGCAAAAATGTCAATTCCTTGGTGAAGCTTTCCTTGACTTCCCCAGAAATAGTTGCTCCCTTTCTCTCCTTTTATTCTATTAATACCTCTAAGGTATTAACGCAGCATATTTTTGCACACACATGATTTTTCTATTGGGAGGTCTGTTTCCCCTATTATCTGGGCCCTTTGCAGTCAGTACCTCCTAGCTGTGTGCAGCCTAGGGACATGGTACCCTGTGTCTCAGCCACTCTAGCAGTGGCTAAAAGGGGCCAAGGTACAGCTCAAGCGACTGCTTCAGAGGGTGCAAGCCCCAAGCTTTGGCAGCTTCCACATAATGTTGGGCCTGTGGGCACACAGGAGTCAAGAACTGAGGTTTGGGAATTTCTGCCTAGATTTCAGAAGATATATGGAAATGCCTGGATATCCAGGGAGAAGTTTGCTGCAGAGGCAGGGCCCTCATGGAGAACCTCTGCTAGGGCAGTGCAGAAGGGAAATGTGGGGTCAAGCCCCCACACAGAGTCCCCGCTGGAGCACTGCCTAGTGGAGCTGTGAGAAGAGGACCACTGGCCCGCAGATCCCAGAATGGTAGATCCACCGACAGCTTGCACCACGCACCTGGAAAAGCCACAGACATTCAATGCTAGCCATGAAAGCAGCCAGGAGTGGGGCTGTACCCTGCAAAGCCACAGGGGTGGAGCTGCCCAAAGCCATGGGGGCCTACCTCTTCCATAAATGTGACCTGGATGTGAGACATGGAGTTAATGGAGATTTTTTTAGTGCTTTAAGATTTAGTTAATGCCTCACTGGATTTTGGACTTGCATGGGGCCTATAGACCCTTTGTTTTGGCCAATTTCTCCCATTGGGAACAGCTGTATTTATCTAGTGCCTCTACCTCTATTGTATCTCTGAAATGCCTAACTTGTTTTTGATTTTACAGGCTCATAAGTGGAAGGGACTTGCCTTGTAACAGATGGAACTTTGAACTTGGACTTTTGAGTTAATGCTAAAATAAGTTAAGACTTTGGGAGACTGTTGAGAAGGCACGATTGATTTTGAAATGTGAGGACATGATATTTGGGAGGGGATGGGGTGGAATGATATGGTTTGGCTGTGTCCCCACCCATATCTCATCTCTGAATTGTAACTCCCATAATTCCCACGTTTTACGGAAGGGACCTGGCAGGAGGTAATTGAGTCATGGGGCAGGTTTTCTCCGTGCTATTCTCATGAGTGTGAATAAGTCTCCCAAGATCTGATGGCTTTGTAAAAGGGCAGTTCCCCTGCACATGCTCTCTTGCCTGTTGCCAGCCATGTGAAACTGAGTCCATTAAACATCTTATTCTTTATAAATTCCCCAGTCTTGGGCATGTCTTTATTAGCAGCATGAGAGCAGACTAACACAAAACACAACAAGGAGGTCCAATGAGAGGGAAACTCCCCAGGGAGATGTGGTGGCTTCTTCACGTGTCTCAATGTGTATTTGGGGGCTGGACCCAGATAGGAAGATATGATGAATGGTCCTAGGGAAATTGTCCAGGCCCTGTCCGCAGAACAGAAGCTAGAGCTATCCTGGAGAAAACGTCAAATTTGTAGGGAAAATTGACAAACTTTTATTTAGTTTGTAATCATCAGCACTGCAATTCAGTTTGGTTGTGCTTCACATCCAGCCCAAGCTTTCCTAAATCCCCTGTCACATTCTATCCCATCTTAGCCCATGCCCTGGCTCCTTTCTCAGCAGGGCTTCCCCAGTGCTCTCTGACTCACTTTCCTCTGAGAAGTAGCAGTAGCAGAAAGCTTTCTGTGTCCTTCACTGGCTGCAAGGTGTGACAAGGAGAAAGGTTATGTTTCAGAAGCCTTTGCAGCTTCAGGTAAGATTAGAATGGCTGGTCTCTGGGAAGGGACAAGTTCCAGAGAGGGTACAGATTGAGAAATTAGGAGTGGGGGCTTTTATAAACTGTGCCCCAACTTCATGAAGGAATGAGGGAGAGAGAGCTCACGGGCTGACTCCATAGGGAAGGCTGGATTGGGGGATGACTAATGCAATTGCCCATTTGGAATTTAGCTTAGGAGATGAAAAGAAATAGACCAGAGGTGACAGTCTCAAAAATTCTATTGTTTGTTCTTTGTTTGTTTGTTCCTGATCCTCTCCTAGTCCAGTGGTGGGAGAGGAGCTGGAGTAAGGAGAGTGGAGAGAAAGAGAAAGGAAGGAGAAATAAAAAGAGACTTGAAAAAGAAAGGGAGTCCTAATGCAGGCACGATCAGTAAAAAGTAAATAAATAAATATAACTCAAAAAGAAAGGGGGTATGTGAGAACACCAAGGAGTGTGGCTAATGTGATTAACCCTGGCCTAAGGACAAGATGGGATATTAATTTTGATCTCCCAGACTTAGGATTGCCATGAAAATACTTGGTTGAGAGGCAGGGGCTAGACAGTGGGGAATGGAAGGCAAGTGTCTGATTCCAGAGGAAAGCAGAGAGTTAGCAAGGTAGGAGGAGAAGAGCTCTCACCTGAGAGATCATAGTCCCTGGCTTGGGAAGGCCTAATGCAAGAACAGGGAGAAGAAACCACCAAAAAATTGGTCTAACCAGCTGACAAATCACTGCCATGGGGTGGCTCTGAGCTGTGCTGTGTCTCTCTCCTTCCCTGGCCATGGCCCCACCCTCCCCATGTGGTTGAACATTCTCACCACCAGGACGTCAGGAGGCATAGAGTTTAATTCAGGCTCTTCGACCAACTAGTTCTGTGGCTCCTGCTTAATCTCCAGAAGCTTCGTCTGAATATTCCTTTCAGGGAAAGCACACCAGCTGGCGCCATGGTGGGGAATATTTTTTCAGATCCTAAAAGACTGAGAAACTGTCACAGCCAAAAGGAGCCTAAGCAGACATGACAACTAAGTAGAATGTAGTAAACTGGATGGGATTCTGGGACAAAAAAGGGGCATTAGGGGGCAACAGAAAATCTGAATGAAGTGCAGACCTCAGTTAATAAAAATGTGCCAAAATTGGTTCATTGATTGTGACAAACGTACCATCCCTAATGTTAGATGCCAATAATAGGGGACTCTTGGTGTGGGGTGTATGGAAACTCTCTGTGCTATCTTTACAATTTTTCTGATAATCTAAAAATACTTTTTTTTTTTTGAGACGGAGTTTCGCTCTTGTTACTCAGGCTGGAGTGCAATGGCTCAATCTCGGCTCACTGCAGCCTCCGCCTCCTGGGTTCAGGCAATGCTCCTGCCTCAGCCTCCTGAGTAGCTGGGATTACAGGCACGCGCCACCATGCCCAGCTAATTTTTTGTATTTTTAATAGAGACAGGGTTTCACCATGTTGACCAGGATGGTCTCGATCTCTTGACCTCGTGATCCACCCACCTCGGCCTCCCAAAGTGCTGGGATTACAGGCGTGAGCCACCGCGCCCAACTAAAAATACTCTTAAATAAAAAGTTTATTTAAAACCTGTGAGTTACATATAGTGTGGACTCAAAGATGAGGACAAGTCCTCTGGAAGGGCCACATTTAAGATACCTCTTTGTGGGTGTGTGCCGGCGCATATATAAACAGGTAAGTTTTCTATGATGAACCTGCAATACTTTTGTAATGAAACACTAATTTAAAGTAAGTTGCATATTATACACCACTTGGAAGAAGAAAGAATGTAAAGCAGCCATTTCAATGAATATGTTTATGAATTCATTTATTGAATCTTTTATTTGACAACATGTACTAAGCTTGCATATAACTGGACCAGGGGTTCTGTGGCAAGAATGAGATAAGCAGAGCCTGATTTTTACAGCTGAGACGCAGCGGGTGGCCTAGTGGAGAGCTGACACACAAGCCAGCAGTAGGTGAGTAAACTGGAGTACAGTGACGACACAGAGGAGGGAGCGCCTGGCTCTGCCAGGGTCAGCCAAGGCTCAACAGTGCTTATGCCTTAAGACAAGAAAACAGCATGGACTTGAGAGCTTAAGCTCTGGAACTGGGCAAGTTCTCTCAAAGCCTCATCGGGCTATTCTGAGGATTAAATTAAAACAGTAAGAAGCACAGAATAAGTTAGTTCCTGATATAGTAAGGGGTTATTATGTGCCAAGAACTGTTGTAAGTACTTTACATCTGTTAAACTCATCTAATCCTCTTATCCAATCTATGAGGGAGACACTATCATTACCCCTCATTCTAGAGATGAGGGAGCTGAGGCACCGAGAAGATCATAATCTGTCCATGGATATCAGCTAGGTAATGCTGGGACCAGGGCAGAACCCGGGCAGGCCAGCTGCAGAGTCTGTATACTGTACTGTCATGCCAGCCACATCCTTCAATGACTAACGCAATAATCATTCTGAAGGGTGAGTAAAGGCCACTAGGCAGGTGAGATGATGAAACTATCATAATCTTACAACTTAATAGCCTAGACCTCAGGGGACGTCTCACTGTGATGTAGATTTGAGGTCTTCAGCATATGATGGAAGGGGAGGCCTCTGAGCTGATGAAATGGCCCAGGAGAGCACCCTGTCCAGTGCCAGCACAGGACCTCTGGAGCTCTGAACAGAGTTCAATAGCAACTGTTTTAGTTCAGGTTGCTATAACAAAATGCTACAGACTGGGTGGTTTAAAAAACATACATGTATTTCTCACAGTTCTGGAGGCTGTGAAGGGGCTGGCAGATCCAGTGTCTGAGGAGGGCTCTCTTCCTGGTGTGCAGATGGCCATCTTCTTGTTCTATCTTCACATGCTGGAGAGCAGAGAGAGGAAGCAAACTCTTGTGTTTCTTCTTCTTTTTTTTGAGACAGAGTTTAGCTCTTGTTACCCAGGCTGGAGTGCAATGGCACGATCTCTGCTCACTGCAGCCTCCGCCTCCTGGGTTCAGGCGATTCTCCTGCCTCAGCCTCCGGAGTAGCTGGGATTACAGGCACACGCCACCGTGCCCAGCTAATTTTTTATATTTTTAGTAGAGACGGGGTTTCACCACGTTGACCAGGATGGTCTTGATCTCTTGACCTCATGATCCACCAGCCTCAGCCTCCCAAAGTGCTGGGATTACAGGCGTGAGCCACCCGCGCCTGGCCGTGTTTCTTCTTGTAAGGGCACTAATCCTTTACACGAGGTCTCCACCCTTATAACCTAATTACCTCCAGTTCCTATCACGTAATACCATCACAATGAGGATTAGATTTCAATATACGTATTCTGGGGAGACAAAATCATGCAATCCATAATATTCTGCCCATGGCCCCCCAAACTTCACGTTCTTCTCACATGCAAAATACATGCACTGCATTCCAACAGTCCCAAAAGTCTTAACTGGTTGCAGCATCAACTCTAAAGTCTAAAGTCCAAAGTCTCATTGAAATATTATCTAAATCAGGTGCAATTCATCCTGAGGCAAAATTCCTCTGCATCTGTGAACCTGTGAAACAAAACAAGTTATGCGCTTCAAAGGTGCAGTATGGCTGGATAGTCAGAGGATAGACAGTCCCATTCCAGAAGGGAGAAGCTGGAGAGAAGGAAGGGGTGATGGGGACTCAGTACGTCCAAAACCTACAAAGCAAATCCCATGAGGTCTTAAGGCCTGAGGATAATACTCTTTGGTTTGATGATCTGTCCTCCAGGCCACTGGGATGGCAATATCACCCACAAAGCCCTGAGAGGCACTCTTGCCATGGCTTCTTTTGAAGGCCCTCCACCCTGCTGAAACCCAGGCAGTTGCCTGATGTTCTGTGAATCACCTTTGGAGGGCCTTCTTCCCATGTCCTTTCCTTCCCTTCCCTCCATCCTCCTCCCTCCCTCCTTCCCTCCCTTTTTTCCTTCCTCCCTCCCTCCCTTTTTTCCTTCCTCCCTTCCTTCCTTCCTGCCTGCCTTCCTGCCTTCCTGCCTTCTCTCTCTTCCTCCCTCCCCCTCTCCCTTGTTCCTTCCTGTTTTCTCTGTTTCTCTTTGTCCCAGCTGGCAGTGTTTCTGCTGGTATAATCTCATCTCTATTCCTAATGCTTTTTGAGGTGGCTGATTAAGTCCATGATTCACACCTGCACTAATCTCCTTATCAAAGGGTCAGTCTGCCGCTTCCTTAGTGTTTTCTTCTGAACACACTTTCTTTCTTTCATGTTACAAAAAGGCCGAGAATTTTCCAAATCTTTAAGTTGTAGTTTCTGTTTGCTTAACAATTCTGTCCTTAACTCATTTCTTTCCTCTTGCATTTTACCACAAGCAGTCGGGAGACACCATGCCTCTCCTTCAACAGTTTACTTCAAAATCTGCTCAGCTGAATATCCAGAATCATTGCTTGCAAGTTCTACCTTCTACAAAACACTAGAATTTGAACGCAATTCAGCCAAGCTCTTTGCTACTCTGTAACAAAGATGGCCTTTTCTTTATTGTCCTATGTATTCCTTATTTCCATCTGAGACCTCATCAGAATGGCCTTTACCATCGTATTTTAACCAATATTGTGCTCATGATAACTTATATATTATCCAAAGAATACAATTTCTCTACAGGTCTTCTCTTCTCCTTGTGAGCCCTCAACAGACCTCCCTTTAGCTGTCCCTTTGCAGCAATACAGGTTTTTCTAGCATGTACCTCAAGTCTTCCAGCCTCTACCCATTACCAGTTCCACGGCCATTTCCACATGTTCAGGTATCTGTTACAGCAGCACCCCACTTCTCAGTACCAATTTCTGTCTTACTCAGTTTGGGCTTCTATAACAATTTGCTGTAGAATGGGTGGCTTAAACAGTAAACATTGATTTCTCACAGTTCTAGAGGCTGAGAAGTCTAAGGTCAAGGTGCTGGCAGATCCAATGTCTGGTGAGGGCCCAAGAAGGGCTTGGGTTGTAGTTGGCCACCTTCCCTTGTATCCTCAGATGATGGACAGCAGAGTGAGATCAAGCTCTGTCATGTCGCTTCTTAGAAGAGGGCTCCTCCTTCGTGACCTAATTACCTCCTAAAGACTCTGCATTCTAATACCATCACATTGGAGATTAGGATTTCAACAGGGATTTTGGGCAGGGGCACACATGTGCAGTCCATAACAGGAACCATCTATTATAATTTGTTTCCCAGGAAAGGGGCAGAAACAAGAAAGCCACAAAAAGCAAGGGTCTGGACTGAGCAGTGCCAAAGGGGAGAGAGAGGAGGTGGCAGTTAGTGGATACGCCAGAGGTAGAACTTCTGGTATTCGTTGACCAGTTAGTCGAATTGGGGTCTGAGAGGTTGGGGGAAGTGTTAGACTCTGAATTGTGCAAAACAGACTCTCACTCAAATGCACCAAGCAAAGGGAATGAGGACAAAGGAGAAGCTATAAGCCAGGCCCTCCGCAAGCACGGTTCAGGCACTGGAGGAAGCATTATTAGGAGGTCGCCTCGCCGCCCCTCAGCAGCAGCACGCCATTGGTCTTCCATCTGCTACTGCTCTGTAGCTTGCCGCTCAGGGCTTCTTTTGTCTCACAACTTGCTTCCCCTCAGCTTTCGCAGCCTTATGGCACATGATTTTATATCTGCCTCTCATCTTTCCTCTATGTGCCTTTTAACTTCCACTCCCCACTGGCGAATCGACTTGCTCTCTGAATCTCAAGTTGGAACTTGGAGAGGGAAGGTCTTGACAATTCAGTTTAGATCCATTGTCTCTGGGAGGTAACAGTCTCAGTAATTTGGCTGCCGGTGCTTCGAGTCCAATCAGTGGTGGACAGGGAGGTGCGGTCACTTTGTCTGAGCAGGGCACGCTGTCTAGAAGAAATGCTGTGGGGAAGGGGTGCAGGCATGATAGGCTTTTAGAGGCTGAGCCTACATGGAACCTGTCAGAGAGGACTGCACAGTTTCTAGCCTTAAGAGAGGTTAAGGGACATGGGCAACGAAGGATGAGAAGCCAGTTGGCTTGGTGGATGGAGACTTCTGAGGCGCAGGTAGAAGAGAAAGACATGCATGGAGGGAGATATCCAGAGGAAGCTGCAAATTCAGGACCGGAATTCAAGAGAGGTCAGCCCTGGGGAAGATTTAGAGAAGAGCACCAGAATGATCACAGAAGTTAGAAGAATGAGGTGCCCTAGACAGGGGCAGATAAAATTCAGTCACCTCTGGGGATAGGAAGGCAAAGGAATAACTGGACTGATTCTTTGTCTTTCTCCGCAGAAGGCCAGATAACCTCCAAAATTACCCAAGGATTCATCATATCAAGGGACAAACAGCTTCCTGCTTCTTCTCTCTGTGTCCTCTCAGGGCTATAGTGTCTGGCCCTCTCTCAAGGTAACTAAACTCTGGAGGCCTGAATCTGACAATGCCCATTGCACCTCCCAAATCAGCTCTAGGCAATGCTCATATACGTTCCCCCTGTATAGTGTCTCTCAGTCACACTTGAGTAAAGCTCATGTACTTTCCCCGTTTCGTATCTCAGTTGTACCAGAGTAACTTTCCCCATTTCATATCTCTCAGTGGTACTTGAGTAACGCTCACACACTTTCCCCCGTTTCCTATCTCTCTGTTAAACTCGAGTAATGCTCATATACTTTCCCCCTGTTGTCTTGTATCTCTTAATTAGAGAACTGCCACACATGGTGTTCCAGGCTACTCTCTCAAGAGACTGAGACCAGTTGAATTGGGGTCTAAGAGGTCGGGGGGAAGTGTTAGACTCTGAATTGTTTGTATTTTAGTGTAGATGGGGTTTCACCATGTTGCCCAGGCTGGAGCAATGAGTCCTAAGCTGGGAAGAGACATACAAGTTTGCAAATGAGTTTGAACTCTTTTCTCCCCCATTCCTCCAGGTGGTTCCTTTCCTGACAGAATATCATTAGCAATAAACTCAATAAAATCTGGATTTTTTTCTAACTCATCCAAAAACTGTTACCCAGTATATGGAATAGCTATTAGCAGTCATTGAACAAAGCCCATTCACCATTTGGAAGGCGCTTTTATTTTCTGGTCTCAGCAGCCCGGGAAGAATGATTGTTGGTAGTCGTGGGCCTAGTTTAAGAACAGAATCACTATTCATATTTATTTAAAGGTTAATATCCCCTATACAGATGTTCAAGAGAAAAGTCAATACGTCTTCTCAGTCCACACTCTTAGACAATTATTACAACAAAATAACCACTTGAAATGAAAATTTTGCAAATTATAAAATAGTCGCTTGATTTTTCACCATGAAAATTGTACAAATTGTTTTTAAGGGTATTTTAAATCTAATTTTGTGTTAATTTAGCTTGCACTAAGTAAATAACATAGATAGAAATGCTTTGAACATATTTGAAAATTTGTTTTCCTCTATTTCCTTTGTTTTCAATTTTCCTGTTTATCCTTTTTCCCTCTGCCTCTCTCCCTTCCCCTGGTTCTTTAGTTATTTCAGATAATTTTGTAAAAGAATCTGAGACCATGGAAAAAATCTTAGAGCTTTTTTGTTGTTATTGTTTGTTTTTAAAAACAATCCTTCTTCATAAAAATCTTCTAGTATGCTTTTCCAAAACTGTACACTCCTTGGCCTCACCTATGGAAAGTTTATTTTAGTAGGTCTATGATATGGCCAAGGAGTCTACTTTTTTTTCCTTTTTTTTTGAGACAGAGTCTCACTCTGTTGCCCAGCATGATCTTGGCTCACTACAACCTTTGCCTCCTGGGTTCAAGCAATTCTCGTGGCTCAGCCTCCTGAGTAATTGGGACTATAGGTGCATGCCACCATGCCTAGCTGATTTTAGTGTAGATGGGGTTTCACCATGTTGCCCAGGCTGGTCTCTAGCTCCTGAGTTCAGACAATCCTCCCACCTTAGTCTCTCAAAGTCCCAAAGTGCTAGGATTATGGGCGTGAGCCACCGCACCCAGCAAGCCTATGCTTTTAAAAACTTTCCAAGTAATTCTAAGAGGCACTCCCAGCTGAAAACCATAGCTTTTCAACATATGATGGCGATTCAGTTCATTCACTTGCTCACTCAGTGTGTATAGGGCACATTTGTGAATTAGGCACTATTCTAGATGCTTGAGATCAATCAGAAAACTAAGCTTACAAAAATTCTTGCCTTTGCAGAGCTTACACCATAGCATCTCTTAAAATAAAATAAAATAAAATAAAAAACCCATCCAGAACTCTGCACTGTTCACCAACTCAGATTACACCCATAAATCCTGTGGCCTGTCTTGCACAAAATGTTTGTGGCGTGGTCATAGAAGGCTTATCTATGCCCAGATAAAATATGGAAGGATAAGAGCATGAATCCTAAGACTGAAACCAATGGCAGGTATACAAGAGCCATCATCAACCACTTCCTCCCTCCCCATACTGTCTTCCTGGAGAACTTGCCCTCACTTCCATCTCAGAATTTCTGCTCCCATGGTTTTGCTTAGTAGGTCCTAAGCTATATGCATTGTATCATGGCTGAGCCGCTTGGACCAGGGGCAGACACATGATCTTGCTGGTTAGTCTAATTTTTTTCTGGGGAGTTTAGAATATACACTCAGAAAATTCACGAGGGTTGCTAATTAAAATGCTTGCAAGGGTCTAGTAGGTAACATAATGAGTGATACTTGCCAGGTATAAGGAAACCAATATCACACTGTTACAGTAGACAGCATCTGATCCATGACCTTGGGGTCTGGGATCCTGCTATGAACTGGATGTTTGTGTTCCCCTGGCTTAGTTCATTTTGTGCTTCTATAACAGAATACCACAGACTGGGTGATTTATAAAAAGTAGTTTATTTGGCTCATGGTTCTGGAGGCTGGGAAGTCCAGATGGTGCTGGCATCTGGTGAGGGCCTTTGTGCTGCGTTATCCCATGGTGAAGGGCAGAAGGCAGAAGGGCAGACAAGCATACAAGACAAAGAGAGGATGGGGGCCAGAGTGTATCCTTTTATCAGGAACCCATTCCCACAGTAACTAACTGCTCCTGTGATAATGACATTAATTCATTCCTAATCAGTATGAAGAGTACTGTTACACTGACAATTTAACTTCCACATGAGATTTTGAGACCATAGTACCCGCCATAATTCATATGTTGAAATCCTAACCCATAATGTGATGGTATTTGGAGATGGGCCTTTAGGAGGTAATTAGCTCGTAAGTGTAGAGACCTCGTGATAGAATTAGTGCCCTTGTAAGAAGAGACATGAGAGAAATTCCTTCCTCTCTCTGTTCTTTGGCATGTGAGAGAACCAGAAAGACAGCCCTCACCAGAAATCAACCATGCTGGCACCCTGGTCTCAGACATCCCAGCCTCCAGAACTGTGATAAATAAATGTTTCTTGTTTGCACCACCCAGTCTGTGGTATTCTTGATGGAGAAGCCTGAGCTAAGACAGATACAATAGAGATGGGCAAACTGGAGAGCACGTGCTCTGTGCCAAGGAGGTGGCCATCATTCAACTCCAGCCAATTGTTGCCACGTGTAATCCCAGGTTGCCAGATTTCCTGATATTTACAGAAGTCTAGAATTTATGTTTTCATATGAAATCTCGAAATAATTATTTTGTATTTGAAAAAAATTTGTGTAGTTCAAAGCAAACACAGTTGCAGGCCACGTCCGTTGTAGCACACCAGTGTGCATCCTCTGGCTGCTATAGCCAGTCTTTGTTGGAAACAAACACAAGAAAGTATGTCAAACCAGAGGCTGAGCATGCTGTGTTTGGTCCACGTGTCCAGGGAAGCGGAGACACCCACACTGCAGATATAAAATAAAAGGGTGGTAATGACAAAAGCAGAGATCAAAACGCAACCAACCAACAAGAAAACAAACTAAAAAGTGGTAGAAAGAGAGACCTGGATCCTGACAACATAGTTTTTATTCTAGTTTTTCTTTTTCTAGTCTATACCTTGGGTTCTGTAAGATATCCTTGTTTCCTTATTTTATTTTATTATTCTTGAGACAGAGTCTTGCTCTGTCACCAGGCTGGAGTGCAGTGGTGCAATTTTGGCTTACTGCAGCCTCCAACTCACTGCAAACTTCACTTCCCGAGTTCAAGTGATTCTCTTGCCTCAGCCTCCCAAGTAGCTGGGATTACAGGTGCACACCACCATACCCAGCTAATTTTTGTGTTTTTAGGAGAGATGGGTTTTCAGCATGTTGGCCAGGCTGGTCTTGAACTCCTGACCTTGTGATCTGCCCCCTTTGGCCTCCCAAAGTGCTGGATTACAGGCGTGAGGCTCCACACCCAGCCAGAAAGGTGTCTTGAAGCTTATCCAGCTCTAAGGGCTGCTTGGTGTGCTTCCTGCCTTAGCCACCCACATCCTACCATGCTTCTTTCTAGGGGGACTCATCTTACATTTCATGGGTGAGGGTAGATCCTCTTTTTTGCGTTGTTTATTTTCTAACTTGAATTTTTTGCTTTCCTTTCCTTAGATCTGGGTTTTCCTCTATCTGGATTCTCCCAGGTCAGGTCAGATTTGGAGCTTGGACAACATATAAAAGTGCTTCTAAATTACTAGGAGGAACATTGTGAACACGAGAAGTCCTAAAATCCTCTCCCCAGAGATGTGGTTTGGAAGAAAGTTCAACAATCTATGCGTGTCATAAGTACTGCAAGAAATTCTAGTGCTGGTGGTCCATGGACCACCTTTGAAACCCCCGTCCATCCCGGCCCAGAGCATCTCTTACTGCTGAAATCCCAGAAAACCTCCCTGGCCCCCTTTTGCTGGGCAACACAAGACAGCTCGGCAGGATTTAGGTTACATGACAAACATTTAGTGAGTGGCCCCACTTGGGCCAGGCAGTCACTACTCTGGGACCCTGCTCCTCCTGCCTTTCCCCGCTCCTTCCTTTTCCCAATCCCCTCGTGTTGCTTCTCACCTCCGGCTCCTTTGCTCTCACTGCCTTCTTGAACTCTCTGAAGCCACTGAACCTCTGAGGCTGGGAGTCCTCTTCTCCTCTAAACTTCTCTTTCCTTAGCTGAGTGGGGACTCAGCCCCAGTAAGTGGGATCCTGGCTCTGATATGGTTTGGCTGTGTCTCCACTCAAATCTCATCTTGAATTGTAACTCCCACAATTCCCACGTGTCATGGGAGGAACCCAGTGGGAGGTGATTAAGTTCTGGAGTTGGGTCTTTCCTGCACTGTTCTTGTGATAATGAATATATGTCACAAGACCTGATGATTTTAGAAAATGGGAGTTGGCCAGAACAAGCTCTCTCTTTTCACCTGCCGCCATCCATATAAGACGTTACTTGCTCCTCCTTACATTTTACCTTCTGCCATGATTGTGAGGCCTCTCTAGTCACAAGGAACTGTAAAACCAATAAAACTCTTTCTTTTGTAAGTTGCCCAGTATCGGGTATGTCTTTATCAGCAGTGTGAAAATGGACTAATACAAGCTCCAAAACTTCAATCAAAAAGAAAGGAAGGTATGTGATTCAGCAGCCCAAGTAATTTCAGAGAGTTAATGAATCTGACCCAAGAAGGAATTTTATATTTCCTAATTAAAAAAAATTTATCTTTAAGTCTTACACTTTCTGAAAGCAATTCATTTGGGACATTGCTAGCATATGACTGATACCCTGTACTAGAGAAAGAAATATGAATACAAGTAAGAAAGTTAGCATGGAAAGTCCAGTATGTGTGCAACCAGATCAGAAAGGGATATTTGATGGGATACCTATGAAAACAATGTTTAGAGAAAAACACAGCACTTCATGTTCATAGGGTTAATATTACTCAATAAACCAGTTAAAATTGGTGAGAGATTTCCTATATAGTTAAGTGCAAAAGCAAACTGCAGAACTAGATGCATGTCTATATTCATATATGTAGTTAGCATTTGTGTATTAATAAAAAAGCCTATGCCCCTATGTATGTACATATTTGCTTCCTTGTGCATAGTCTCTGGAAAGACATTGCTTCTGGAGAAGGTAATTGGGTAGCTGAGAAAATTACTTTTCAAAATATAATTTTGTAGCTTTTGCATGTTGTATTGTATGATTATTTTTTCTATTCAACAAATTTAAAATTAAAAAACCACCCTCTTGGCTGGGTGCAGTGGCTCACACCCGTAATCCCAGCACTTTGGGAGGCCAAAGCAGGTGAATCACTTATGTTTGGGAGTTTGTGACCAGCCTGACCAACATGGAGAAACTCCATCTCTAATAAATATACAAAACTAGCTGGGCTGGTGGCGCGTGCCTGTAATCCCAGCTACTCAGGAGGCTGAGACAGGAGAATCACTTGAACCTGGGAGGTGGAGTTTGCGGTAAGCCGAGATCGTGCCATTGCACTCCAACCTGGGCAACAAGAGCAAAACTCCATCTCGAAAAAAAAAGAAAGAAAGGAAAAATATCACCCTCTGCAAGTCCCTTCAGATTTTATTTTTCTAAATCTGTGTACAGCATTTTAAACAAATTCCTGGATTTGAACACTAAAGAGGAAAATGGAATTGTGATAGTGAGGCCACAAAGGAGAGTCAGGAACAACTTGTGGGTGTTAGGTTTTAAAATGTGGACAGAGGGCCGGGCGTAGTGGCTCATGCCTATAATCCCAGCATTTTGGGAGGCCGAGGTGGGTGGGTCATGAGGTCAAGAGATCGAGACCATCCTGGTAAACAAGGTGAACCCCATCTCTACTAAAAATACAAAAATTAGCTTGGCATGGTGGTGCACACCTGTAGTCCCAGCTACTCGGGAGGCTGAGGCAGGAGAATTGCTTGAACCCAGAAGGCAGAGGTTGCGGTGAGCCGAGATCATGTCATTGCACTCCAGTCTGGGTAACAACAGCGAAACTCCATCTCAAAACAAAAAAAAAAATGTGGACAGAGTCTTTCTTGTCTGTGTGGATAATAGTTTTTGGTGATAGTTCAACACACTCCCACAGGGAGAATGTAAGGGATGTTGACTGGCACTGAGAGAGAATGCCAGGTGCTGGGCACTCCACATTCCAACAAAAGTTTCCAACACTTCCCTCAGGCTCACCAGTCTGGCTTTCCTATCCCCAAACCTAATGCCAGCATCCTTTTCCCCAAGGCTGATAGGCAGTAGAGAGAGTTGGATGCACTGGGAGTGCAAACCAGAAGTCACCCTGTCCCATTGGTGATGGTAACCCCATCAGCTGTACAGGCCAGGTGGTCTCTTGGTCCCCACCTTGACTCCTCTCCTCTCACTGTCAGACCACAGGTACCACATCACATAACCTGTGACATTTCTGTTCTAGAAAGAAGAAACTGTGTCCTGTTCATCACTTTATCCCTCACCCCCAGCATAGTGCCTGGCCCATTGTGGTACTGACTGAAATGATTGTTGGATGAATGAACGAACAAGTGAATAAATGGCATTAAGCTCTTTACTGTCCAAAGCTCCTAGGCAAAAGAGATGTTTTTCTCTAAGGTGATAAGTCTCCCAACATCCAGTGTATCCAGTGTTTGTTGACAGGGCCTCCCAGCCTTCACAGCACCTTGGTGAAAGCAGGAAAGCTCATGCTACAGGCAGATGTACCCATAAACCATAGCTTGGTGGCAGAACTGGCCTCTGAGAGAAGGTAAAAGTGCCTTTCTCTTGGAAGATAGCCTGGATTGCTGCATTCAGGTTTCTAGCCTCACTCACCCCTAAGCTGGGCGTTTCTGTGCAGAACCCAAAGCACAACCTTGAGCAGCTACAGAATTCCTTCCCTTTCCCTCACTTCTGTTACGCCATCTCCATCTCCTCCTCCACCCTGTCATTTACTCCCCCACATCTCTTCCCCGTCTCCTTTACCTAAGGGGCCCCTCCCTGGCTATCTCTGCTCCTGTCTCTTACTCTCTTACTCTCTTCTTTTCAATCTCTCTTTGATATTTTTTCCTTCCGTATTTCCTGGCTGCTCGTCCTCTCTTTTCAGCACATACTGTGATTCACACGTTTTCTCATTCTTCTCTTGTAATACCATATTGAAAAAGAGTTTGTTTATTCCATTTAACAGAAAATAAACTAAGACTCAAGCAGTTTATATAACTTGATGAGATCACACAAGCCTTAAGGGGCAAAGTTAGCAATTTAATCCAAATTGAGGTGACTTCAAACACAAAGTTTTGACTTCTGCTTCTGGCTATAATTGAATAACAGGAACCAGATTTTATCCTTCTGCCTAAAACTGTAACAAAAAGAGGGATGAGATATATGAAACAGTAGTTTCAAGACACTGGGTATCACGTAACAAAGGATAGTGATCATGTAGAGATAGAAAATAAAATTAATGAGCCCTACAATTACCCTAGTTTATTGCCTTGACACATTTTCCAAGCTATGGCTCAGGGAGGGGGAACTGAGGCAGAGACTGGTGATCTCACTGAATTGAGGACACAGAACCTAAGAGTCTGGGGAGACCAAAGCAGCCTAAGTTGAGAGGACAGAATATGAAAGAGGAGAGAGGTGCACAGAAGGAGAATCTCAGAGCTCTGCAGAGAGAAAATACTGATCCGAATGCTGAACATGGGGAAGGAACCACCTTTAAGAATTAGAGGCACAGTGCCTGGCTCTAACACAGGGCCAGAAATTGTGCCTAAATTGTGTTTTTTTCAGTCAGATTTTAAAAACTTAATTCATTTGACATTGGGTAGAGTACACAGGAAGAAGGTTTTGCCTCAGTAGTAGGGAGTATTTAGCCCTAGGATGAGTGCTGCCCTGGATCCAGCTAACAAATCATAAAAGCAAGACCAAAAGGATGAAACTATTTCCAAATAACTACATCCCTTCTTCTTCTTCTTTTTTTCTTGAGACAGGGTCTCATTCTGATCCCCCAGGCTGAGTGCAGTAGCACAGTCACAGCTCACTGCAAATTCTGCCTCCCAGGCTCAAGCCATCATCCCACCTCAGCCTCCTGAGTAGGTGGGGACACACACACACACACACACACACACACACACACACAGAGAGAGAGAGAGAGAGAGAGAAAGAGAGAGAGAGATAAAGAGAGAGAGAGATAAAGAGAGAGAGAGATGGGGTTTGACCATGTTGCCCAATCTGGGCTCAAGTAATCCACCCACCTCAGCCTCCCAAAGTGCTAGGATTACAAGGGTGAGCTGTCACCCCTGGTCTGTATCACTTCTTGAGTAACAAAACTCAAGAAGATGTATTAAAATACAAAAATATCTATCAGCCAGCAATATGTAATTCACAATGTCTGGCATCCAATCAAAGATAACTAGGCAGGCAAAGAGGTAAGAAATCAAGACTCGGCCGGGCGCGGTGGCTCAAGCCTGTAATCCCAGCACTTTGGGTGGCCGAGGCGGGTGGATCACGAGGTCAAGAGATCGAGACCATCCTGGTCAACATGGTGAAACCCCGTCTGTACTAAAAATACAAAAAATTAGCTGGGCGTGGTGGCACGTGCCTGTAATCCCAGCTACTCAGGAGGCTGAGGCAGGAGAATTGCCTGAACTCAGGAGGCGGAGGTTGCGGTGAGCCGAGATCACACGTTGCACTCCAGCCTGGGTAACAAGAGTGAAACTCCATCTCAAAAAAAAAAAAAAAAAAAAAAAAAAGAAATCAAGACTCAGATTGAAGAGAATAATTAATCAATTAAAGTTGACTTTCCCAACCCAGAGCAGACACAGATGTTAAAACTAGCAGAAAAGGCCACGGAAACATGTTGTAAGTGCTCAGTAAATATCAGCTATTGTTATTATTTCATTTTTTTCCCTCAAAACTGTTTACCTCAAAGAAGAGATTATCATCCATACTGACAGAAGTAAAACTGTGTCTCAGAGTAGTGGAGTGGCCTAACCACGTTCCCAAAGGAAGCTACCTGCAGAACAGGGACTAGAATTACTTTCTTCATTTACATGTTGTGTCACTTACCTATGAGCGATAGTGAAAAGGTCTTTACATCCCGCGTACCACTAGCATCCGGGAAGTTGAGCAGAAGCAGCCATTCAGAGCTAGTTACTATCATTAGTCTGAAGGGCAAAAATCAAACAGAAACAGAAAGAGGATATTTAGCTTAAAATTTTGATTTGTATGATTAGGAGGGTGGAATAAGAACCAATTACCTTAACCCATTACAATGAGACCCATAAGTGAAAGCATTATTCATATGAAAATACATAAAATCATTAGTTTTAATTTATTTTGACCATGTATTTGTAGGGGGGAGAGTCAGGTATAGATGTAAAAATTCATGCCCGCTATCCCCTGTTGGGCCACAGGAAATATGTTTAATGGATTACACCACGGTCTTCATGTTTTACTCTTGTTACCCTATCCAGTACCACAATTACCTAAAATAAATAAATAAATAAAAGCTCCTCTTCAACCTGTACCCCACAAAAGGCAACAGGCCTTTCTTCTGGGCATGTCTGCCTTTTCATGTGTGGGAGATTGCTTTGTTCAATAGACGTCCCCTCCCCATTTTTAGAACGTAATATTGCTTTCTATTCAAAGTTTCACAAACAACCCTACCCAACTTGTCCTTTGAAAATATGATGAGCA